AGCGGAGGCTGGTGGATGACCTTGACCGGGGAGCCTGGGCCACCCAGGGGTGTGGAGCCACAGGAGTCGGAGGAGGACGAGGTGTAGCAGGAGAGAGCCTGGCTCAGCAGGGGCTCCATGCGGGCCAAACAGGGCTTGTCCAGGACAATGACCTTGACAATTTGTTGGCATTGCACCAGGGTCCCGGGGGGTGTGGGTGGCAGCGGCGGCAGCGGCGGGGGCTGCTCCCTCAAGGGGCTAGGCTGCGGGTCTGGCAGTGGCACCGGCGCTCCCCTCTCGGCCCCCAGCCCGGGGTTGTGCTGAGACGTTTGAAGCCTGTTGTGAATTGACACCTAGTTTAGAAACAGCCAGAGAAGCATGAAATGTTACAAAACTAATTCCCAGCTGCTAGGACTGGCTACCCTGAGCCTCCCTCCCCACCATTCCTGTCTCCTATGCCCCTAGGAGGCTCCCAGCCCTCACCTGAACCCGCCATCTCTCCACCCACCTGGAGGAAACCTGACTGCTGAACCCAAGTGCCGACCCTGGGTGGGGAAGGGAGAGCCCGTCTCCTCACCTGTGAGATGGGCACCTAGGCCAGCCGCCCCTAGGGTTCTGCAGTGCTCTGCAGTCACATTTCACAGGCAAACCTCTCTCTGCCTCCCTCTCTACCACCTCTGAGCTTGGAAAACAGGGGAAATTGTCTTTGCCCCCTCCTTGCCTCCCAGAGCTGTGTTGAGGGACAGTCAGTCATCTTTGAGCCTTTCAAGCCCCCTCCTCCCACCCGCTTTGTTAAAGGAGAAGCTTCATTGTTCTGTCGAATTACAAAGGTGCCCAAACCCAAAATGCCAGGGCCCCTTGAATACGTGATCTGGACCTACCGGATCCTCCTGGATCCCCAAGGCCAAAACCATGCATGTGAAAGCAGCCCAGACAGCCAAGGCCAGAGTGTGGTCCCAACTGCCTTTCTGGCCCAGCCTGCGTCCCAGTTAAACGTGTCCCGCTGCAGGAGAGGGTACCCAGAAAGGACTCTAATCTTCACCCCCTCTCTCAGCCCCTGGAAGTCACTGTGAACCAGCCTGGCCTCCTCTTGCTGGCAGGGGGAGGTTGAGGAAATGGGAGGAAGGGAGCTAGCACCTTCTGGGAGGGGAGGGGTTAATTCCTCACCCTCTAGCTCCCCAGCCTGTAGGTGCAACATGCCTCAGTCCCCTTCTAACACCTGGCCTTCTGGAGTGGCTGAGACCTTCACCCTGAGGACGCATCCTACTGCCCTTGGGCATCGTCACCGAGGATGGGCTGCCCAGAAGAGCACAGAGGGGGAAATCGATGCTGTAGGGGAGGGGCCTTGACCGCCAGGCCTAGACCAAGATGGCTCAGCTCAAAACTATCTCAGAGACCTAAACCAGCAGATCCTATTGTCAGCAGAAGGTGCAGTCTCTGGGCCTGTGCCCTCCCCTTGGGCTGCTCCACAGTTCCCCAAGCGCCGGCTCCGTCCGCCCCTTCAATATCCACATTGCAGGCTTTGCTCTTCCCTCTCAACCTCCAACTTTGGCAGCGTTTTCTAGGCCTGAGATTCCCCCCAATGAAATGAAGGAGCCCCTGAGTCCCTCAGTGCCCTGCCAGGACACAGGGCAGGCACAGGGCATTGCTGGGGGCCACCTTCCTCCTGGGGAGCCCTCTGTGGACCTCATTCTGGCAGAAGGCCTCTGCCCCCCGCTGCCGGAGGGCACTGGCTCCTTGCCCTGCCTGCATGGATTCTGAGTTATTCCCCACGAGAAAAGTGGCCTGAACGGTGGGTGCAGGCTTTCTGCCCTCCTGCTCCCCCAGACTGTACAGCAGAAGTCTGACCGCCCTAATCCAGACCCCCTGAGCCTGCCTTCTCTTCCCAGGGGCCGTGACCCTCCCGCCCACACAGCACCGCAGCTTTTGGCTCCTCCTCGCCTCTTCTTCACTTCTCGCTTCCTGATCCCCTCCACTGTCTGCACCTCCCTCATCTCCACCCCAGCCTGGATCCCGTATCTCTAATGGTAAGTGAGCAGCAGGAAGTGACAGCAAAACATTCATTTTGACCCCCTTCTCACCTTCCTGCTGATGAAGGGGAGAGAAAAGAGAGAGAAAGAGAGAGAAAGAAAGAGAGGAGATGGAACATGAGTAGCAGGTCAGAACAGCTCAGAGAAGATGGAGAAGCGCCTGCCAGAGGGGCTCGGCCAGGCAATGACGAGAGAGGGCAGAGGACAAGAGAGCTTGGGGTCCAGCTGAGAGGCCGGGAGCAGCGAGGCTGCCCTCCGTGCAGGGGAGCAGAGGCTGGCAGGGCCCTGGGGCTGGCTGGGGTGGCAGCCTTGCAGATAGCCACATGGCCCTCTGGCAGGGTGGGAGGGGAGAACGGGCCATCAGGTCACTTGTCCTCCCTGGGCAGGTCAGGCTAAGGCACGGGCAGAGCTGGTAGAACAAACCGGAAGGCTGGTAACTTTGTGTGTTTATCTGCAAGGCTAGAGAATGGGCAGCTGCAGGAAGATGGGGAGAAGAGGGGGCAGGGGATGGAATACCCACCCTGGGGGCTTGTCAGCTGCCGGGGCAGGAAGCTCCTCCGTGTAAAGGTGCCTCCTCCAGACACAGGTGTGTGGGGGGTGGGGGCCATGGGGAAAGAGGGAAGACATGGGGCTCCCCTGGGGCATCCTGGTGGGCAGGATCCTCCCTCAGACCTCTAAGTGGGGGCTCCTCCAGCTTGGGGTGGGGCTGGGAAAGGAGGTGTCTGTGTGAGAAGCTAGTAGTCCCTGGAAGCCTGGCAGAGGAGTGGGAGGGGAAGGCTCACTGGGGAGCAGTGGGGGAGGACTGGGCCCCAGCAAAGCTTGTAGGGGCCACTGAATGCCCCCCAGGTGACACTTGGGGGCCTGGCAAGGACCAGCTTCTGTGGCTACGTGGCTTGGGGATGGGCAACCCCCCTCCCACACGGACAGTCTTCAAATTTACGTGCTCCCCACCCCCAGTGAAATCCCTAGGATGACTCAACCCTGTTCTGCCTCATCAGCTCCTGCACACACCCCTACGCCATGGCCAGCTTTCCGAATGGACCAGCCGGTCCAGGGAGGAGCTCCACCCTCTCAGCTGCCCCCTCCAGTTCTCCACCTGCCCCAAGAGGCGGCTGAGGGCAGGATCCGGGGTGGAAGTGGTCACTGGGGCTGGACTTGAGGGGTGAGTCTCTGGAGGGGCCCAGGCTCCCTCCTATGGAGGATAGGGCAACTGAGGAAAAGGGAACAGTGGCTTCCCTGATAAAGCGGGTACTAGGGGGATCAGTGAGCGATCTGCTGGGGGAGTGGGTTGGGGGATGGGTGGGGTCGCTACGGAGGCGGCATGGGCATCTCTGCAGGTGTTGGTCTGGGAGCTCGGCCTCGGAGGGCACTCAGCTGGGGAGTGGGCAGAAAGTGCTGTGGCATTATTAGGTGCTGGAACAGTGGCATTACCCATGCTAGCAGTAACTTTTAATTGTATCTCTTGAAATTGGTAAAATGGTGAGTCGGGCTGGGGAGGCATTGATTAATACCTGAGAAGAGAAACAACAGAGACAGTGAGAAGAAGGACAAGCGGGGGTGCACGGAACCACTCACCTGGGCAACCAGGCCTCCACTTACCTCCACCGTGCTCTCCACCGGCTTCTCCCCCAGGGCAGCTTCCCTTTTGGCTTTGAATGCAAAGAGCACAGGGCTCACTCTCCAACCAGCCCGACACAAATCCCTGCCTCTCCCTCCCAGCCCCCACCCCACCCCTCCACCCCCAATACCAAGCATCCTTGCAGTTACACGTTGTGGCCAGAAGACTCTGGGTACCATGCCACTCCTGACGGAGGTGCAGCCCCAGGGCGGGGGCTAGAAGTCGGAGCCCAGTTCTGCCACTTAGTAGCTGTGCGACCTTGGGAGTCCAGCCTAGAAGATCTCTGAGGCTTTTTAAGCGAGCACTACTGAGTTTCAGCAAGCATTGCTCAGTCTTGACAGCCTGAGCCACTGTCAAAGGTTCCCCGGTATGGACTGTGGAAGTTGGTTTTGCGGTGGCATTGGTTCTTGGCTCTCAGAGACACCAGGAGGCTCTGTGTGTTTGTGGGAACTGCACTAACCTGCCTCTTTCAGCCACAGGCACCTTGAGGGAGGGGCCGTGTTCCTTTTGTGTTTCTACCCCTGCTACTTAGCTGAGTGGTGGGGATTCAATGAGCAGGGACCTGTAGAGCACTCACCACAGGGCTTGGCATGCTTAGTTTAAGCTTAGCTGATGACGGCTGTGTAACTGCTGCTGGGACATTCTGACTGGGCTGGCACAGCACCGGGGACCCTGCAGATCTCTAGGGACATCGTGGTAGCTTTTTCTGGCTCAGTCGCTCCTGGCTCCCACCCCTGCCCCCAGCAGGCCACCCAGAGCCCCTCTGCTGGAGCCCCTGTGACTTCTCAACACAGTGTGCATGTGTGTGTGTGTGTGTGTGTGCTCACGCATGAGCAAGTTCCCTTGCTGTGCTCATCGCCCTGCTTTCTGTAGCACAGAGGGAGCTCTGCCGTTATTTGGAACCTAGGAGAACCCCACTGGGGAGGTGACTGATGGACCAGGCCATGGAGACATGCATCCTGGTCTGATTGGGGGGTGCAGCTTCCAGAAGAGGCATGCTGGGATGCAGAGTGGGGTGGGGTGTCAAATGCTTAATCACAACTGAGGTTTGGCTCTGGAGTTTCAACAGCTGTGCAAACAAGCAGCGACTCGTATACTGTGACCTTACAGACATGAAGGGGCCGGCTGAAAAATCAGGCAGGGTGGAGAATTATGACTGCATGATGGCAGGTCAAACCCATACACAGAAGATGATATCAGAGTGAGAATCTCCATGCAGCTAAAACAGCCCCAGGTCTTGTCTGGAAAATGAATCTCATCTCCTAGCTGAGTGACCGGTGCTGTGATGCTGTCTGTCCCGGCATCACGGTGTCATGGCTGTAACTGAGGGTTGGGGACCAGCCTGAAACCCACCGGAGTGTCTCAGCTCAAGCTAATGTCTTGCTGGAACCCTGGTCTTCTAGTGCTTAGCAGGGGATACACAGCAGGCACCCAATAAATGTTGGTTAAGTGAAAGAATAAATGGCTGAATTAATTAATTAGTGAACAGTTCTGATGGTTTGCTGGGGGTTTGTTGGGATGGGAGTTAATTCTCACGCCATTTCGCCCTCTAATTTTTATTTGGGACTGCAGAGTGGGGGTGGAGGTAACTCTTCCCATGCCCCCTGTGGGTGGGGGTAAAGGTGAGGGGCAAGAGGTAGAAAGTAGGAAGATGTCCATGGAAGAAATAAAGCAGGTCTAGAAAACGTGGCCAAAAGTGGTAAAAAAAAAAAAATCTGTGGCTGGCTTGATGCGTCTGGAGTGCATAAGTCAATTTGAAGAAACCATTTGGGAAGTTAGGTTTGGAGGTTTATCTGGGTTTGGGGGCGGGCTGACTCTGGCCTGGGATAGGAACGCACTCGTGGCTCCTTAGGGAAAGGACTGGACGGGCAGATCAAGATTTCCAGACCCTCCTGGCCACTCTCCTTACCGGGCTCATGCTGCTTCTCTTTACTACACCTGTCACCCCCTCCAGTGAACCGGAGTCCCCAGACAGCCTGGGTGTGGGGTGGGAGGGGGTGGGTAGGAGGCTCCCCGACTGGGGTTAGGGCTGTCTTGGCCTGACTCCTCCAGGGAGAATGGTTGTTTTTCACAGGGACCCAGGGCCTCAGGACAGCATGTAAATCGACACATTCCTCTCACGCCTTCCTTCTCACTCGCACCACTAAGGCCCATGAGATTAAGCCTGGAGCTCCTAGCAGAAAGAAATGGCCATGGGAACGAGTACTTTCCTCACCCCAATTCCCCAGGAACCCCAGGCTAGGGGCAGAGGGTGGCCCCCGTGCAGGCCCAGGGCCATCGTAGGCCTGAGGCCTGGGACAACGGAGCAGAACCAGGGCTCACCTGTAGGCGATCCGTGCTTGGACTGTGGGTCCACCTGTGCCCCGCTGGACTTGAAGGACAGCGTCTTTGCTCCCTGCTGCTTCTCCAGCTCCCCTGCAGGACAGAGAGGCCCGTGAACAGAGAGGAACCCAGCCTCAAGCACAGTGAGGTGGAAGAGGAATGAGGAGAGAACAAGAAGAGGGGGGCTCCCTGACACGCTATAAAGTGTGGCCTGAGTCTGGCACCCCACTTCACAGCTAGAGCCTCGGTTTCTCCATCTCTGTGTGGGGGGAAGCTATTAGCTGCTTGAATGTCAGAGGCAAAAGAGAGGGCGGTGGGCTGCTTGGGTCTGAATCCTGGTTCTGGGGCTTCCTAGCTGTGTGGCTTTGGACAATTTACTTAACCTCTCCATGCCTTACCGGAGGGGACAGCGGTGCCCACTTCAAAGTGCTGTTAAGAGGATTACGTGAGGAAATACATCAAAGCCCTTGAGAACGAGGCCTGGCTGGAGGCAGGTGCTCAATAAATATTAGCTTTTATTATAGCAGAAACAAATTACTTGGACCAGCGGACCTCGGTGATGGCTGGTGACAGCCAGCCTGCCCACCTTGTGCCCAGAGGGACAGACCTTCCTCAGGGTTTCCAGAGCTCTCCCAGGGAGGAGATTCCCCACTGAGGGTGTCGGTGCGGTGCAGTCTGTGTGGCCAGGGCATCTGTCTTGTCCACAACCTTGACTCCTCTCCCTAGACTGTCAACCTGTTCCTTCTCGTTCTCTCGCGGTGTTAGAGAAGCGCCAGTTACCATCCTCAGAGGTTTGACGATTAAATCACTCCTTCAGTGTCTCTTTTCCAGGAGACATAACTCAAGTTCCTTTGATTAAGGCCGCTCTCCTGGGTCCCATTTTCTGTCTCTCTAGTTGTCAGGAAGCCAGGGACACTGGACTGCACACTCCAAACCAGAACAGTTTGTCCTGACTGCTTCAAGTACACCACCAGTCAATACTTGATACTTCTCCTGAATGGGGGGTCGTCCCTCCCTGGAAAAGGGCTGTCTTGGCTTTGGAGAAATTAGCATCGTAATTATAAGCACAGAGTCTGAGGACCTTGGTGCGAATCTTGCTTTGTCACCGACTGTGTGAACTTGGACAGCTTCCTTAAGCTCTGTTAGACTCTCCTTATTCGTAAAATGAGGACAATCCTACCTGCCTCACAGAAAATTGTCGCAGGGATTAAACAATATGATAGGTCTGGCATTCAGCCCAGTGCCGGGCATGTAACGCATGGTAGCTGTTACTGTTTTCACTTTCTTTTCTACTTCCTTCCCTCCCTGCCTCCCTCACCAGTACTTCATCTTTTCTCAGCTGTTACTTCCAGCCAGACGTGAGGCTCTCTCTCTGCTCCCCTGCCCTCTAGACAGCAGGAGATGATATTCACTCTTGATATACTGCTTCTGGCAATGTCTACTCCTTTGTACTTTGGAAGGGACAGGGATGTCGCTCCCGGGCTGATGGGGGAAAAGGGATCTCTTCCAGCAAGCATGGGGCCCATTGGTATGCTGTGCCTCCCCAGGGCTGTGCAGAGCCATCTGTAACATTTTGACAGTGACAGAAGTGACATTTGAGGGTGTGTCCTTGAGCATGTTCAAGATCAACAGCCAAGGTGGCGTCTCTGAGCATCCAGTCCAGCCGTTGAAGAGTCTGTCTGTTATCCTGCTGAGCTCGCGGTTGCCCCCAGAGCGCAGACAAAGGAATGTACACCCCTACCACCCAAGCAGTTACCGAGTTGTACGGTCTGGTCTGGTGGGTTTTTGTTTCAACCAGATTTAACGGTTTCCTGACGATATTATACACGGAACGTCTTCTGTCGTTCTCAGAGGAGAAAGTACATGAGCCTCAGAATCAGACTCAAATGCAAGCGCCACCTTCTCCACTTCTAATACGCACGCCCTTAAACACATCCCTCAGTGGCCCTGGGTCTCGTCTGTGAACTGCGGACAAGCACCTACCTTGCGACCTCACTGTGAATGCTGTAGGCAAACTGCCTGGCACGTAGTAGGTGTTCCAAAAACGCTGATTAAAAAGCACTGCCCTGTCATGTTGGTCCCTTGCTCCCAAAACTCCCACTGCCTTTCCTATTGCTTAATGGGTTTATATTAATTTAGAACCACTTCCCAACAGAGTGACCGTATAAGGCAGACCTGAAGTCTGTCTGTACTTTCCGGTTTCGTTTCTGAATCCATTCTTACTAAACTTCCCGATAAAGGCGATCTATGCTTAAGCAGCAAAAGCTTGCAAGTGGGCACAGCTTGCAGGCCACTGCCGCTCTTTTCCTAAACCACAAAGTAACTGGCAAACCACCCGGACCTACAAAGACCCCACATAGTTTCTACAATGCCTGAATTGGAACAATCAAGAATCAAGGCATTCCTTAGGGGAAAAAAAAGAAAACTCCTAGGTGAGGGATAGTCAGAAAAACAGGCTGGACTCTTCAAAAAGACCATCGCATGAAAAAACAAAGTCGGGGGGACTATGATTCTAGATTAAAAGAGATTAAGGAAAATGACACAACCAGATGTAATGCGTGAATGTGACTGGATCCAGGGGGAGGGGCTGTACAAGGCAGTTCGGTGGGAAGAGAAGCGCCTGGGTCCCCAGGCCTTTTGGGTTTGCCTCCTTGCCTTGGTCGGCTGGCTTGAATGTGTTGCTCAAACACCACAGAGTCCCCTGTTCCAAGGGGCACCCCCACAGCCCCACCGGAGCATGTGCACCTCGCTTTAACTGTGATGGTGCAGTGGGGCCGGGGTGGCCTCGGGATGGCAGGAGCGTCCTTGGCTCACCCCACACTCGCTCCACAGTGGGGCGAGGAGTCAGACTTGTGCCGCAAGCAGCCTGTGTTCCCCGCTGACCCTGAGCCCACCCGCCCACCCGGCCACCGCATCCTTACACTCTATCCGGATCTGCTCCAGCTCTGTCACCTCAGCGATGGATTCCTTCAGGTCCTCCACAAACTTCTGCATCTCGTCCGAGCCCAGGGCACAGAAATGCAGCACCTGCTTCTTCTCAGAGCCCGAAAGCGGGGTCACCAGGGTGATGCCATGAGAGTAATCTGGAAAGCAGACCCCAGGCCCCCATGGCCGTGAGCAGCAGTGAGTGAGACGGGAGCTGGCCCAGTGTGGAGAGTTGGATGGGGCTTTTGGGGTGCTTGCCCCTTTCCCCCTCCCTGTAGCTTCCAACTTCTCCCCAATACCCTTGGCCACATCTCCGGGGACGAGGGAGACTCACATTCATTCTCAAAGAGGTGGAACCCCATGCCCAGCAGGCCCACTGACTTGCAGAACGTGTATGTGGAGGAGCTCTTCTTCTTCGGGCAAAGTTTGAGAATCTGTTCAAGAGAGGGAGAGAGACATGCACTGAGCGTGTATACACATGTGTGCACACGCAGGCCCACGAGCACACAGGGACACAGGTGAGCACACACACAAAAAGAAACATGAACACACGTGCACGCTTATATACTTAGGGTACATTCACACGTTGACATCCACGCATACGTACACACACACACACACACACACACACACATATAACAGGTATATAAATACACATACCGTATCACAATATGGGGTTTCTTGTATTGCATAAAACCCCTCAGTGGCTGTTCCCACTGCACTTAGAAGTGCACATTGCCTGCCTCTCCCCATCTGGTCCCTGCCTCACTCTGGCTTCATGTTCAAGCCCTGCTGTCATCCTTTCCGTGGCCTGAATAGGGCCAGCTTGGTCCTGCTGCAGGCCCTTTGCACATGCTATCCCCATTCCGCACCTCTCCCTGCGGCTCTCTGCATGGCTGGATTGCTCTCATTACTTAGATCTGAACTCAGATGCCGCCTGCTTAGAGATCTCCTTGAGCAGCCCATGGAACAAACAAAAACAAACCAAACCACATTGGCCCTAACCCCAGCCCCTCCTTCCTCCCTATCCCGTCATTGGGTTTCATCGTCTTCACACCACCTTTTTCCCAATTTGATACTATCTGGTTTATTTGTTTCCTTCATTATTTCCTATCTCCCTCCCCAACTAAAATGGAAACTTAGCCAGTTGCTCAGTACTTAAACACTTCTTCAGCACCTTCTCCCAGCTGGGCCCTGGAGGCACAGGAGCGCAGAAGCCAGAGAGAGCCGTGCCCCCAGAGTGCCTAACAGAGCTGCGGAGCAAGACCGGTCAGGGGGTAAACCAATGGATTGATCCATAAAGCATAATAAGCAGAAGAAAACCAAAGTGAAGGAATAAATAAGGTAATTCCAGAAACTGACAAGTGTTTTGAAGAGAATGAAATAGGGAAGGAATAGAAGGTGACTGGGCAGGCTACCTTTCGAGGTGCACAGGGAGGGCCTCTGGGAGGAGGTGATGTTTGAATTGAGACCTGAATGAAGACAGGGAGGTGGCTGGGCAAAGTCTGGCAAGGTGGTGGCAAGAACAAAGGTCTGAGATGGAAGGAGCCTGGCCCTTGGGACTCAGCTCTCGAGACCAAGGTGCCAGCGCAGGCAAGCAGTGGAGTGGAGGGCGGGGAGGGGAGGTCAGAGATCCAGGAGGCCTCCAAGTGGGGGGTGCGGGCTTCCTTTGCCTGGCATGGGAAACATGGCAGATATGAGGCCCGATTTGTACTCTGGAAGGATCACTCTGTTGCTCTGTGCAAGGTGGAGCTCAGGGGTGGATGGTTAGATGTGGGATAATTTTAGAGATAGTGCCACCATGACTCATGGATAGAGAGGATGTGGGAGACGAGGGAAAGACAGAGACCCGATCGTGTTCACCGCTGTTTCCCGGCACTTACAAAAATGCCTGGTACATAGTTGACCCTCATTAAATATTGTGGAATGGATACCTATTCCAGAGAACAAAGAATGAGTACACCACAGACATGCACGCACACACGTGCACATACACACACATGCACGCATCCCCTGGGCCCCAGGCAGCGCAGGCCCCGCTCAGGCCCACCATCCCCCACTGGCTGTGGGACGAGAAGCACATCCTTGTCCTGTCCCGCCCCAGGTTTCTTGTACTGTGGGAGAGGCTCATGATCTGTGATCTGGTTCATTCCCACCATGACTGTGGAACCATAAACAAATCACTTGACCTCTCTGAGCCTCAGCTTCATAACTTACAAAGTAGCCCTATGTGGCTAAGCAACCTCACCCCCCATGATGGGACAGTGTCGTGCAAGAGGAATCAGCCCTTAACTGTGGCATTCTGAGTGGCCCTCCCCGCCCCTCTCTGGGGTCAGGGCTAAGGCTGAGCTGGGCAGCAGGTGGCCCCGGCCTGGCCCGTGTACTCACCACCAGCAGGTCGTTGAAGAGGAACACCTCCCTCTGATGCGCGGCCTGCTTCTGCAGCTTGTTGACATCTGTCACCTCAAAGAGCCGGCTGCAGCAGACCAGGCGGCGGTGGGGCACCGACAGCACCTTTGGTGGAGGCAGGAACTTAGGGGAGGAGCCCTGGAGCTCACAGTCCTCCCCACCCCATAGCACCCACTTTCCGGGAAAGCAGATGGAGGCCAAGGTTTCTACTGCAAGGCCTGAACTTGACCATAAACGTCCTCTCTCCTCACCGGGGCTCTTCCCTTGTCATGCTTCTTGGGGAGCAAGGCTTGGGGAGAAGCGTTCATCATGCTGGAGTAAGTGAGATGAAGGCACGGGGAATGGAAATTGAAAAGAGCTTCCAGATTGGTCAAATCTGGTTGCTGTCAACCCCCATGACCCAAGCTGCAGCCTGCAAGGTGGCCCCTTTGTCCCTTTCTCTACTGCACACCCAAATGCAAGTGTGCAAGAGGGAGGGGACTGCAGGGATACCTCAAATCTGCCGCGTGTAAAACGATCTACTGCAGGCCTCGGCAAGAAAGGCTCTGGGCAGAAAAGGGCCATCCCTGCAGAGAGGAGCTCAGTGTAGAGCTCAGACGACATCCTCAGACTGCTTCTTAGGTCAGCAATTTAGGGAGGAGAAACTGGAGACAAATACCAGAACCCACTCTACATGCTTTCAGTTTATGGCATGAAGAGTCTCTGCTGACATATGAGTAGTAAACTACAGAGAATCATTGCCAACATAGACCATATTGCCTGCGACACAGGTCACAACTAAGGGGCACACCAGTGGCTTACCACAGTCTAGAGCCTACTTCAGCCTCTTTCCTGTCTTCTATTCAGTAGGACCTTCCAGGAAAGCCCAGTATCCATCCCATCCTAAGTCTCCCCATCTGGCCATCCAGATGCTTCAACCCTAGACCACTGGGCAGCCTTTCCCAACATCTCACCTCAGCCTCTCTGCTGCCATAGCTGGTAGCACTGAGGAAGTGAGGTAAGGGAAAACGGAGGGTGCAGTGTATGGCACAGAGTAAGGACTCAATTACTATGAAGTGAGCAAATAATGGAAAAGTGTCCCTGAAAGGGAAGGAAGAGATTGGGAGGAGATGTCAGCTGGTCTTGAGACAAAGGCAGGTGCGAGATGGGGGGCGCCTGGCAGCCATGGGAGAGGAAGTGGCTCCCACGGGGTGAGTGCTCTTCTGTGGTGGGCACTTACCGTCTTCATGCCCACAATGGACTTCTCCACCTTGGTGACATACGTGACGTGGTCCTCATTGGACTTGAGCTCCTTCTGTTGTATCCTTTCATAGATGCCCACCACCAGCTCCCTGGGGATGTCGGCACCGTCATCCACACCTATCAACATGGCAAGGGAAGGGGAGGCGAAGGAGGCGGAGGACGGATGTGTCAGAGGCCTGCAGCCAGAGAGGGAAGCCCCCACCAGGCTGATGTTCCGCAGGGGTGGCCTTGATTTTGCCCTGTCCCTGTTGCAAAACCTTCAGTGACTGGCTTCCCAGCCCCACTGAATTAAGGACAGACTCCTTAGCCAGGCACCAGAACTACTACAATATGGTCCCAACACACATTTGCAGTCTCATCTCCTGCTGTTCCATAACCAGAACATCCACTCTCACCTCCCTGGTCTCTTTCCTCATCCTCAAATACAGCCTCCATGTTCCCACTCAGGGCCTCACTTCTGTAGTTCTTCTTGTCTACCCCCACCCCACTCCCTGTCCCCCATGAGAACTTGAAGGCTGATACTGTCTTTTTTTTTTTTAAGTTTTTTTTAAAAAATCCATTTTGAGAAAGAGAGAATCTCAAGCAGGCTCTACACTGACAGTGCAGACCCCAACATGGGGCTTGAACTCATGAATGGTGAGACCATGACCTGAGCCAAAACCAAGAGTCGCATGCTTAACTGACTGAACCACCCAGGTGCCCAGCTGATGTTCTGTCTTATTCTCTCTTGGATCTCCTCCCTCTCACACCTAATCCCCACCCCTGATTAGTTGTTAACTAAGAATGTGTGACAAGATTCTTCCTTCACTTGGAGCGTGGGGAGGTGGTGGTGGTGGTTACATGTTAGGTGAAGAGGAGCCGGACAGCCCCCTGTAGCAATGCAGGTAAGGACACTCTACTCCCATCTCTTACTTCATAGTAATAAAACTCCAGGAACAAAAAATACTGACTTGGAAACAAATTCTTTGGGAGGTAGAAAGAGAAGCCATAAAAAATTTCTTCATTCTACCTTTCCTAAATCTTTTTTTAATGACTATATGCTTCTCTTACAAGACAGAAGCATTCAAAATAAAGCAACTTTGGCAAGTGTCCTCAAAGGAGATTTCCTACCTAGTGAGAGGACATTATACCTTCTATGAGCAACTCTTTGTATCAATCCCATTTCTTCTACATCTGATCTTGGTTCTTCAAGTCAGGCAAATTAGCCCATGCAGCACCCCTGGGGGCCTAAAAGACACCAGGCTGGGGGCAAGAAAGAGCAGGGACCAGGACTGAACACACAGAGGCTCCCAGCCGAAATGGCAGGTTGCACACCTTTGCTCCTTCTGGATATTCTGGTCAAAGGGAATTTTTTAAAGAGGCATATACACACAAAGAGAAAGAGAATGGGGGAAGAAACAAGGGCACCATATGACCTGGAAAGTGGATGCATGAGCAGTCCTGAGAAAGTGGAAATTGAAGCCGGCCGAGAAGTTACAAGCTATTCAGCACACCACAGAACCACCAAAGGGCTCTGGAATGGGTGGCAACAGGAATCCCACTTTTAGTGGAGGTGAGGTCAGGCTGGAAACAGGAAAATAGGTTGATAATCAGTCTAAAAAGGATTTAGATCTCCCTGTCCCTTCCTCTGCTTCAGCAGCAGACTGAAGGTCAGTCCTCTGGAAGAGGTGAACCAGGAACTCTGGGGTGGGGGCACCCAAGCCCAGTCCAAGGTGGGAGTCTGTGCTGAAAACTGGAGCATGGAGTTGATGTCTATGTATTAAGAGACCCTCTCAATCCTTCTTATCCGAAAGATCTTAGAATATTGGCAGCCAGACTCATACCCTCTGGTCAACAGATCGGACATTTCTCTTCTGGGGAATCAACCAACACAAGAGAAAAATCTGAAGATACTGCAGTAAGGGTGTCCCAATGAAACAGCTCAATTTAATCACCGTATGAAAAAGCCCACCACTCAGAACCCCCCACCCATACTCACAGAGTTTTTAATCAGCCTTTTAGCTCACTCTTAAATATTTGAGAACAATCAAGTTTCATCAAGTATATATGGAAAGTCTATAACACAAGAGAGAAAGAAGTACGGGAAAAACAGAAAAAGGAAGCCAGAAGAAATAGAGGCAAGTAGGGAGTAACCAAAACAAACAGATACCATCAGAGATACATGAGAAGATAGTTGCATCTACAAAACAAGACTAAAATGCTATAAAAGGGGAATATTTACAGAAGAAAAGAGTTATTAAAAATGAAAAATATGACAGCAGAAATGAAAAAATTTGTAGGCAACTCACAAGATAAAGCCAAGGGACATCTTCAAGAAAGTCCAACCAGAAGACGAATATGGAAAATAGAAAACTGTAAAAATTAGAACATCAAACCAGGAGATCTAACATCTGAATAACATGAGTGCCAGAAAGTACAGAGAAGATGATATCTGCACCCTCATGTTCACTGTAGCATTACTTACAACAGCCAAGAGATGGAAGAAACCTATGTGTGTATTGAGAGATGATGGACAAAGAAGGTGTGTGTGTGTGTGTGTGTGTGTGTGTGTGTGTGTGTGTGTATAATGGAATATTAGTCATAAAAGAGAATGAAATCTTGCCATTTACAACAACATGGATGGAGCTAGAGGGTACTATGCTAAGTGAAACAACTCAGAAAGAAAAACACAGTATGACTTCACTTATATGTGGAATCTAAATGCAAAACAAATGGACAAAACAAAATAGAAACAGACTCATAAATACAGAGAACAAACTGTTGGTTGCCGGAGGGGAGGCAGGTTGGGGGTGGGAAAAATAAATGAAGGGGATTAAGAGGTACAAGCTTCCAATTATAAAATAAATTGAGTCATGGGGATATAATGTACAGCACAGGAAATACAGTCAATAATACCGTAATAACTTTGTATGGTGACAGATGGTAACCAGACTTATCATGGGGACCATTTCCCAATGTATAAAAATATCAAATCACTATGACATACACCTGAAACTAATAGGACATCAATTATACTTCAATTTAAAAAAGAACCATAATGAGGCGAAACATCAGGAAAATTTAGAAGACAAAGGAGAAAGAGAAGAGCCTGTACATTTTCAGAGAGAGAGAGAGAGAGAGAGAGAGAGAGAGAGAAATAATATGCAAAAGGTGAGGAATTGGAATGGCAGAGTAGCACTGTCCATTAAAAGACAATGGAGCAATGCCCTCAAAATTTTGAGTTCAGTGTTTCCAATCTGGAATTCTATGCCCAGCCAAACTCCCAATCAAGAGTGAAGGTAGAAAACAAATATCCAGACACACAAGTTCTCAAAAATTTGCGGCCAATGTACCTTTCGTATGGAAGAAAACTAAAAATGAGCCAGCTATGAAATCCAGGATACAGGAACCGAACACAGGAACAAGACAAAGGAGGTGCCCGGATGATGGTGGAGGGAATCCCAGGTGACTGCATGCAGCTGGCCCAGCCACCTGTCGAGATAGGAGCAGAGACTAGAGGCTCTTGGGAGAGAGACCCCAAAAAGAATACCTCTCCGTGTTCCACGTGCAGAGAGGAACTTGACACTTAGGTTGGGGAGTTTGGAGATAAATCAGTGGCAGGTATGTAGAGAGTTGAGCAAATGGGAAAAGAACACAAGTATTCACTCCATGGAAAGGAGAAATAGAAAGGGTTTGTAATCATGCTATACTTCAAGACTCAGCTTTGAACTGTGTTTACCTAGTCTTTTTTTTTTTTTTTTCAACGTTTATTTCTTTTTGGGACAGAGAGAGACAGAGCATGAACGGGAGGGGCAGAGAGAGAGGGAGACACAGAATCGGAAACAGGCTCCAGGCTCTGAGCCGTCAGCCCAGAGCCCGACGCGGGGCTCGAACTCACGGACCGCGAGATCGTGACCTGGCTGAAGTCGGACGCTCAACCGACTGCGCCACCCAGGCGCCCCTACCTAGTCTTAATACCATAAACACTGACGTCACAAAAAGAATGCTACAGCTGTAAGAAGATCATGGGGATTCAGGGTAGTTTTAGTGGGGGTGGGTTGGGGAAGGTGGATCAAAGAGGGCTAATGCTCATGTTCTATGAAATTGCTATGGTCTGAATGTCTGTGTTTCCCTTCCCCCTTTCATATGCTGAAACCCTAGCTCCCAAAACTGATAGTATTAGGAGGTGGGGCCTTTAGAAACCAAGTTATAAAGGTGGAGTCCCCGTGAATGGGGTCAGTGCCATGGAAAAAGGACCTCACAGAGCCCACTCCTTCCACCAGGCGAGTGCACTGTGAGAAAGCCCCAGCCGGAACCAGGAAGCGGGCTCTCACCAGACACCAAATCTGCCAGAACCTTCATCTCGGGCTTCCTGGCCTCCAGAACTGTGAGAAACACATGTCTGTTTATAAGCTACCCAGCCAGTAGTATTTTGTTATAACAACCTGAACGGATTAAGATATAAATTAATAGATAATGCTTAACATTTAAAAAAATGAACAAGTAGCAGTGTATAAAAGAAAGCAAAGTATAGATACTATTTCATCCCATCTATATGAAATTCAAGAGCTACACAACTAGTCAATGGGGACGGAAGGTCAGGAGCCTTGGCATTCTGACAGGGGCACTGACTGGGCCGGGACATGAGAGGATGTTCTGGGGCCAGGGGAATGATCTGGAACGAGAGCCGGCTGTGATCACACATGCATATGAACATAAACTTCATCATGCTTTCAGATTTGTACACCTTACAGTTTGCTTTCATAGCAATTTAAAAAAAGGAATAAGAACAAAAAGAAAAAGGAAGAAGAAGCACGTGGTTTCGCGATATAGAAGAAATACGATAAATGGCAAAAAGAACGTTGAGAGTGGCAGAAGAGTGGCGACAGGGGCAGGGACTAATTTTTTTTTGTAGCAAGAAGCCGTGTAGAATGATTTGACTTTATTAAATGATGTGCATGTATAGCTTCGATTCCTTAAGTGCTAAAGAAGAAAAAAAGCCAGTGAGTTGAGCACACATCACATCCTGCCAGTTTAGCTCTGATCCCTGCTAGGTGGTGCACTATGTCATTTAGAGAAGGACTTGGCTGCTGGGTGCCATGAAATTATATGCAAGGCTGATGGCCATGGACCCAAGACCTAAAAGCCTCCGTCTGTCGTGCGGTGGGAAGGGCTGGCACACATAGGCGCCAGCTGTGTGGCCGGGGCCTAGAAGTCAACCAATGGAGGACGTTCCACGGAGGGCAAGGGGCATTGCCCAGGGGCCCTTGCTGGTTGATGTAGGGCAGTGGCCATGACTCCTGGAAACTCCCCCAATGCCTGGCATGCAAGCAACTTTTCCAGATGGCTGTGTGTGACTGGGACCACAGAGCAGTGTCCAGTGCCCCTGGCTGCTAGGGTGACAATCTACAGTCAGCTCAGACACAGAATTCACACTGAATAGAACGGAGCCTGAGCAGCGGCCTCGGCCCTCCTTCCCGTCCTCCTTACCTCTCAGGTTTCGGATAAAGTCCTCTAGCATCATCTTCCGGTCGGGCTTGATGTTGGGGCTGTACATGTCGGTGTTGAGGAGGATGATGGCAAAGGCGAGGATGAAGATGGTGTCGGGGTTGTGGAACTGCTGCACCACCTCGGGGTTGCACATGCAGTAGCGCTGGCTGCAGTGGGGACACAAGCGGGGTGCTGAGGCCCTTCTCCCCCTTCCCTGGGCTCCAGAAGTGGGGGGTCGTGGGGGGGACAGATGCCACTTCTCTGAGGGCATTGGGTCCCTGTAGCCTGGCCCTCTTCCCCACTGAGGGGACAGGGTCCGGTGTCACACAGCCATGGAGCCCGTCACCGCACCCAGATGCTCACCAAAGACTTGCTGGTCCATGGGGATGGGTGGGATGCACCCTGTCTACCTGGAGGGCCCGGCGCTGCTCTAAGCCTAGAGAGCTCAAGGACTCCTGTCCCTTTTCTTTCCTTCCCTCCTCTGCAGCCAGCCCCCCACCCTTCCCGCCCCACCAGGAGGGCTTCTCCCAGCCCCAGACGGACCCCCCAGCATCTCTGGTGCCCCATATCCCAGGCGTGTGTTTTGAGGGCTGTGTGAGGGAAGGGGGATGGGGTCCTACCTGAAGGCCTCTATGAGTCGCTCTACCTTCTGGGCTTCCCCCTGCACGCGGATGTGGGCCTGGAACTTCCGCAGGGCCTCGTCCAGCTCCATGCTGGAGAAGTCCATCTCGTCCACCACACAGCTGAGGGCAGGTCGGGAGGGGGGGTTCTTGAGGAGAGAGGTCAGCCCCTAATCCTCTCTCAGCTAGAGGCAGCTGAGGAGTAGGGTGCAAGGTGTAGCCCCCTCTCCCACTGGACCGCCCACCCTGGTGGCCAGGATTCTCCCTCTGGTAACCTAAGAGGACCCTCCCTTACACCATCTTTCCTCCAGCACAAGAGCCCTGGGAGGCAGATGGCTGACTGCTGTCTCCATAGCTAAGAGCCTGAGACCCAGAGAGGCCAGGGCGGCTATCCAGAGCCACACAGCCAGAAGGAGGCTGATCTTCCACCTTTAGCTCCCAGCTCGTCTCCTCTCAGCCTCAGAGGGTCTCAGAGTCAGGCAAAGGTTTGAAATAGGAGTAAGTGCAATTTACTTATCTGCTCCTGTCCTGTTAGGAGCCTAGTTTCTCGTGCCCATTTGGGCTTCCGGGTGACGGACCCTTCCTCCCGTACCACCTCTCGGGGTCTGCCTCAGGCCAGATGGGAAAGGAGTGAGCTCATCCTAAGCTCCCTTGCAGACAAGGAGCCCTGAGCTCTCAGGGAAGCTGTGGCCTCTGAAGAGTAAATGACAAATCAGCCTAATGTGGGAGGGGAACAGTGTGACAAACACGGCCGGATTCTGAGCCTGGGCTTACCACTGAATTTTTTGTGTCTTTTGGTGAAGACTCATCTTTTAGGGCCTTGGTTTCTTTTTCTGAGGAGGAAGGAGGTCAGAGTCCTGCTCCCCAAGGGCCCTTCTACCTCTGAAATGCCACCTCTATCTAGCCCTGGAGAGTTTGCATCTGAATGTCTCCCTGCAGTGCCTGGGGAAATGGAGGTGGGGACGTGGTTCCAGTCACCCCTACGAGGCAGTGTCATTCCTCCCAGGGCCTCTCCTGTCCTCCTGCTGCCTTGCCCTCCTTTGGGGTGGCCTGTCCCCAGGGCCATGAGCAGCGGGCAGGGATCCAGGTCTGGCCAAGCAGCAGCCCTGATGTGCCTGAGAACTGCAGACGCTCCCATGTGCCACCAGGCTCCCAGAGCCGACTTCCCCCCTTTCTGCACCCATGCTGTGGTCCAGCCTCCTCTCTCCTGGTCGTTTCATACCCAGCACCACAATGCCTGCTGGGGTCAGCAGCCCCTCTGCTTCCACAGCCCCGGCCACCACCGCCACAGGGTCACGGCCTGGTCGCTGCCTTCCTTCCTGCCCAAAAAGGCGAGGCAAGCTCTGGGCTCGAGCCCAGTGTGTGGCTTGGTGCCCAGCATACCGGGGGACTCAGGGAACATTTGCCCAGTGACCGTGTGAGCAGAGGGACGAGCCCTAAGCAGGACCCACTTCCTCTGTGATGCCAGCGCCTGTGCAAGGCCCACCACCTAGGAGACTCAGAGATCCTGACTCAACCCTGGCTCTGGTGTCAGTTTTTAGAAGGAAGCAATGAGAGACAGCCACACAACAGTGGTCAGGGGCCTGGTGGCCCCTTTCAGGGGGGAACAGAGAGGAGAGAGCATCACTGAGACTTCTAGAAAGGGGAGGCTAGGAGCTCCCTCTTGGCTCCCACAGGGGAGATGGCCATCTTCAGGCTGGGAACCCATCCTCCTCATAGTCAAGCCCAGCCTCCTCTCAGACTTATCTGCCTGGATAGTGAGAGAGAGGGTGGCACTGGGGAGGCCAAGGCAAGAATGTGGCCCAAGTATGACAAGTGGCAATGTCAGTGTCTGGGTGTTTGAGATGGAAACTGGTGGTAGCAGCCCCCGGGTCCAGCCTGGAGAGAGGCCACTCTGACTTCTCAGCAGTTCTTGTCGTCCTCCCTGAGCATTCCCAGGCTGGCAAGTGAACCTCAGGAGCAGCATCATGGGGCCCACACCCATGTATCCCCTAGCCCAGCACAGCCAGGAGTTATGAATCGTGCATGACCGACCCAGACAGCGAGGCCGTCAGAGGAGGTGAACCAGTGTGGTCCTGCAGCAAGGGGACCGGAGCTAGAGCCGGGGAAGCAAGGATAGGGAGGGAGGAGACAGACGTAGAGGCAGTGAGAGACACAGAGGATACAGAGTCAGGTCAGAAAGACCAAGAGAACAGGGACAGAGAGAGAAGGCAAGAGAGACAGAAAAGGAGAGGCAAGGAGGCAAAGAGGAGAGAGAAAGACCCACAAAATGGGGGAGACGGAGACAGAGAACAAGAGACAAACAGAGACGAGGGGAGAGACAGAGACAGAAAGAGGAGAGAGAGGTGGAAAAGGACAGGAGATGGGTGTGGAGGACAGTACCACAGACTGGACAGGGGTGGGTGTTGCTAGGCATGGAGCAGAGGGGCCCCCCCCCCCC